CCGAGCGCGCCCGGCCCGCGCGGAGGCCTCCCTCACCCGCGCGCCCCGCAGCCGCCGCAGCAGCGCGTCCTCGTCGTCCTCGGCATCGCCGAACACCAGCTCCTCCAGGCACCGCTCCACGGCCGGTTTGTCCTCCTCCAGCGTCAGGCGGTTCCGCAGCCGGAGCTGTCTCTCCTCCGCCGTCGCCGTCGCCGTCGCGACTGGGATCGCAGCGGCCGCCGCGCTCTGCCGGGCTGGCAGCGTCCCCTGGGATGAAGGGGCAGCATTTCGGGGCGGCCCGCCCGTCCCCGCTCTGGATCTTCGGACCGGCTTCGTCAGGGTCTTCGGGCCCCGCCTCGCGCCAGCTCTCCGGTGCAGTTTCGTTCGGCTCCTCCGTTCGGGAGGCATCGTTGGGTTTGAGAAGAAACGCAGGCGCTCACGTGGAGCCTCACTGCGCTTGCGCCCGGAAGCCTTGCTCGCCGCCGCCACTGAAGCCGCCAGAGGCCGGAAGGAGTCTGCGCAGCTTCTGGCCACGTGACCAATACTCACGCTCTACGTCACTCCCACTCCCCCCGCCGACCCCTCCCCGTGTGGGAGTTCCTCAGGGAAAGCCGATCTTCCGGGTGTAGGGGGCAGCGGCGTGACTGGAGTGGAAAATTTTACCAACATAAGTTCGCAGCCGCAACTCATCGAGGGGGACCGCCGGAAAGCCAAACTACAGACGGTGGTGACTGAAGGGAGACGTCTTCTCCTCCTTGTGACTTTTTACCTACTCGGCTTACCCCGAGCCCCAGCTCCCTTCTCCTCCCTTCGTCTTGGTACGGTCCGTAGCGTACGGAGCCTGCAGAGGGTCCCACGCTGGAGGAGAGAGAGGAGGGTATGTAGGGAAGTGGGCCAATCGGGGCGCGGGTCACGGCGCAGGCGCGTTGGGGAGGGAGGGCTATGCTAATGTTGTTGATATCCTGGGGCCACCCGAGTTAAAGGGGGGAAATCCGGGGGCTGCTGCAGCTGCCACCGGTCTGAGCCATACCGGGGCACCCCTATAGTCGCCGCAGTCCCGGGGAGAGGCGCCTGCCCCCCGCTCGGGGAGGGGGCGCCGCGGGCTCGGGGAGCACGGACAACCCCTACCCATGAGGCCCTGATGGAAAACACAAAGGATCTGGTGAGACCCGAGCGCGGCAGCCGCTTTGTGTGCCAGGCGGGGGATGGGGGGGACGCCTGCGGCTCCCTGACCCCAGGAACCCCGCGGCTCCCTGACCCCGCTCCCGGGCCTGCTTCTCCATCTCACGCCCCCTCCACCTCCGGAACCCCCTCCCCCTACTGGCCGTTAACGATTCAGGGGCTCCCCTCCCCCCACCCACCTCCCCAGCCCCGAACTCGTCAGGGTCTCTCGCTACCCCCCCTTCTCCTCTGTGAGGGGAGGAAAAAAAAAAATGGAGCAGAAAGTTTTTCTCGGTGTCCCCCCACCCCCGCTCTGGCTAAGGAGAAAGACTCTCCGAGACTTTTCCTTTTTTAGCCGCCCAGGGTGGGAAAGTGGAGTGACTTCTCTGGGAGCGGGGATAGGGAGTGGGCAGAGTTGGGGTGCCCTGCCGGGCGGGCTGTCGCTCGCGCGGGGGCCCGTGCCGCGAGGCATTTTGCACGTGGAGGTGGGAATCCTGAAAGGGGGCGGGGTGGGCACGTGTGGGAGGCCGAGGTGGGAGTGGTGCCTGGGCAGCGGGCTGCCCGCCGAGGGCTGCGCGACCACAGCCTTCTGTGTTGTGAAATAAAAATCCTGACGTTTCAGAGTCGGAAGAGACATTAGAGGTCACCCAGCCAAAGCAGCCGCCCCTCTGCAGCCTCTGGCAAGTGGTAGGTAGTCCGGCCTCTGCCTGAAACCCCTCCGAGCCCCGCTCGCTCGCTCGCTCGCTGCGGCTCCGGAAAGCCCCTTGTGCATTTGTTGCTTGTTTGCCTTTATTATTAGCCCCGCAGTCTCATTCACGTCCTGGTTAAGTTGCTCCTCTTTCTTTCTGCCTTTTTTTTTTTTTTTTTTTTTTTATCTTCTCAAAATTTTCTCTCACATCCTCCTCACCCACCCACTGCTCATTGGCCTATATTTTGTGTGCCAGGAAAGAACAGCAGGGAAGTGGAGGAA